AAAAGGCCAGAGAGAGAAAGGGGATGAGAGAGGATCAAACATTAATTCCTGAGAACGTGTAAGACTGGTAAGTGGGAGGGCCCAAGAGCAGGATTAGAAATGAAACAATGTTGAAGCCAGAAAGAACTGGGCTCACTAATCAATCTTCACAAGATATATTAGAAAAGCCTGAACTGTAATGTATTTCAAACCTCTATCCTAGATCTTATTAGTACAGGTAAAGGGGTAAGAGTGGGGGTAGGAGGGAATCTAGATATACAAACACATACAATAGTAGTTCTCAAATTTACTGAACATTCCAAACACCCAGAGAACTTTAAAAATCCATTGACATGGTTCTATCCTCAGAGATTCTAATTTGATTCGTATGGGACAAAACCTGGGTTTTTTTTTTTTTAACTTCCCAGTTGATTCTAATGGAGAGCAAAGTTTAAAACCATGGACATAAGTATTCTTAAATGACACCAAATGAAGCAATCCTGCAAATCCAGAATATGTAATACTCTCAGATCAAATAAACCATTCCTTCTTTTCATTTTGTTTGAAAAGCCATGTTGTGATTATGAGAAGAATCAGTGCTCTATGGGAGTGTCAAATTCCAGAGCAAATAAAAATAAGCCTGAGACATCTTGTGGTGGTAGTGTGAAGGAAAGAAGTATTGGAAAGTAGATTTCCGAGGGTGAAGAGAGGATAACAAGAGGGCACGGGAAAGCAGGGCATGGTGGGGGCATGCTTACAATCCCACACTTGGGGGAGAACAGTACAGAAAGAACACAAGTTAAAAGCCAACCTGGGGTATATATACATCGAAAGATCCTTTTGATCCAAAAGAACAAAACACTATAGCCAGGCATGATGCCTCATACCTGTATGAGCATCCTGGAGGCTGAGGCAGGGGGATCAAGTTCAAGGCCAGCTTGGACTACAAAGTAAGACCCTGTCTCAAAAAATGATAACGATACACCAAAACAAAATAAAATAAAGTACCAGTAAATAGGGTAACATTTTTTTTTAAGAGGACATAAGATCTAATCTGAAAGACTCTCAAATAAGGTACAGCTATTTGAATCACAAAATAAATATCTATTACTACTAGGTTCCAACCCATAGTATACCTATGAATCCACAATTATATGAACACATAAATAAATGAAGAAAGGTTCACTCTTCCTTACAAAAGAATAACCCAAATGTAAAACTGAAAGTGGCAAGACTCATGAGGAAATGCTGAACTGTTGGGTAAGAGTTTGAGGCATAAGAGATTATGTTCCTAGTCTCAAAATACCTCCCTCAAAGTAGTCATTAATAAAATGGGGGAGGTCAATTTATAGCATAAATATCTGACAGTTGAGCCAAATGACAGTGATTAACATGACCCAAAATAAGAATTATGACAATTATATTGTACATTTATGACAATTATATTGTGTATGACATTCTCTGAAAAGAGCATATAAACTGAGGTATTCTGGGCCAGATAAGCACAATCTCATTTTAATCAAGATAAAATATCAAGCAAGACAGCTCAAAGGGTAAAGGCATTTGCTGTCAAGAATAACAACCTGAGTTTGATCACTGGGCCCCAAGTGGTAATAGACTCCCAAGTTATTCTCTGACGTCTCTACAAGTGTCATGGAATGAACGAACACACACATACACACACACACACATACACACACACACACACACACACACACACACACACACGGGAAGGGGGGAAACATCACTAAAAAAATGTAATAAAAAAGATACATCAGACATACCCAAACTAAGGGCCAAACTATAAAACATCTGACTGCTACCCTAAAACAAAGAGGTATCCTTAGTCATCAAAGATATAATTAAGAAAAATTTAAGAAATGGTCACTAAGTTAAAGGAAACTAAAATGGTGCACAATTAAATATAATCTGGGATTTAATTAAGGAACAGGAAGTCTATAAGCAGAAAAGTGGCAGAATCTAAACATACTCTGTAATTATTAGTATTACACCAGTATTAATTTGTTTTTATAATTATACAATGGTTATGAAACCATTAGGCCAACCTGAGTCTAACATTAATGGAAGCTAAGTAAAGGATATATGCACTACTTTTACAACTTTTCTGTAAGTCAAAATTGCCTCAAAATAAAGGCCTGAGTGATGGGATTAAATGGGATTAAAGGTATGTACCACCATACCGGGCCTCAATATCAAAAAAAAAAAAAAATTTTTTTTTTCTTAGTATTTTTGAGACAGGGTCTCCCTCTATCCCCAGCTGACCTGGAACTCACTAAGTAGGCCTGCCTGCCTCTGCCTCCCAAGTGCTGGGATCAAAGGCGTGTGCCACCATGCCAGGCTACAAAATTTTTATATTTAAGTAATTATGTAGTCCTAGAGAGATAGCTCAGTGACTAAGTGGGCTTGCCACACAAGCATAAGGATGCAAGTTCAAATCTTCAGAACCCCCATCAAATGCCGCGCATGGTTATGCACACAACTATGGTCCCTGCACAGGTTTAGGGTATGCTGAGTTAAAGGAAAACCACTCAATAGGGTTTGGCGGCTACCAGCCTAGCACCAAGTGATAGAACACCCAACATTCTCCTCTAGCCTCTGCATGTACACCTTCACACATATATGCATATGCCACATACATCTGTACATATACCCAATCCCACACACACAATACAAAATAATAAAAATACACCAACAAGGCACTTGCTTACAATCTTGTTAGTGAGCCAGATAATGTACACAGAGCATTCATTGGCACTGCAGGGTATCATGGGGAAAAAAAAAAACAATTTAGTAAAGACAAACAAGTAGACTAAAAATGTTGATCTCAAGGAAGCATTTATCACTGGATAATAAAATGACTAATACACATTTGTATATAAAATGTAAGTTTAATTGTTTTCTTGGATGGTTTTATTACTAGTTCTAAAATTATTACAAAACAGTTTATCTATGTATACACTACTCTACAGAAACTTTATAGATTATAGAATGTTGAACATTCTATAATGTTCATTATAAGAATCATAATGTTAAGTCTTCCACACAATCACACATAGCAAGATATTCAATGGCCAAGAGCTGTGTGGTTCATAATTTGGATACATCCACTTAGAAGCTTAATAATACGCACTTACATAATAAAGATTGAAGTATCTGGCTATAAAGACATACAGAATTATATCAAATACAGAAGTTGCCAAACTTCCTTAACTACAGCATCCTCATGTTCTTAAAAAAATGTATATTAGTAGCCGGGCATGGTGGCGCACACCTTTAGTTCCAGCATTCAGGAGGCAGAGGCAGGCGGATCTCTGTGAGTTCAAGGTCAGCCTGGTCTACATAGTGATATATATATATTCTCGATATATATATACACTCAAAGAAGTTTCCTAATGAAAAATTTAAAAAGCAAAAGAGCTTTCATTTGCTCTCAACTCTGTATTTTAGCTCTAGATCTCCAGAAAATAATCTACAAGAACCTCAGTTTTCTTATGTTCAATCTTGTAAGAAGGCAATTTTAATGGGTTAGGAGTGTTACTCAGTGTAGAGTGTTTGCTTAACATGTTTAAGGTCTCAGGTTCAATCCCTGGTGTCACGAAAAAAAAGGTCATGAATAATGATAACAAGGCAATTACCCCTTTAATTAGAAAAGCTTATATTACAGACCTCCTTCTCTTCCCTTTTATCTCTTAGACACAGTTATAAAGAGTAAATAACCTATTAGGCTTTGTCTACTTTTCAAAATTGACAAGATTAGCAGTATTTTTCCCAATTGTTTCCAAGTATTTATGGTCAAGGAGAGTGACTACCTTTGCCCTGAACTGTTCCAGTTTTTGCTCTTATCCAGGAATAATTATTAATAATATTCTTTTACTCTCAAAAATGTCTCAGTCTATGGTTATCTGTGAGCTATTACCAAAAATTTTTTTTTCTTTTTTTTACACATTTAGCCAAAGCTGGCCTTGAACTTCTGATCTTGTTGGTGCCACCTCTGGAGTGCTAAGATTACAGGCTCATACTACCATGCCCAGTTTTCACAAATTCTTTTCTTATTTTGCTCTATTTGAAATAAAATTTTCATTTGAAACATTACTGCAGGGTTGGGAGTGGTAGGATCATTTGCATAATATATAAAAGGCCCTTGGGCCCGGTGTAGTGGCACATGCCTTAATCCCAGCGAGCCCAGGCAGCGCACTGAGTTCAAGGCCAGCCTGGTCTACATAGTGAATTCCAGGACAGCTGGGGCTACAGGGAGACCCTGTCTCAAAAAGACCAAAAAACAAACAAAACAAAACAAAACAAAACAAATAAAATAAAATAAATAAAAGCCCCTAAATTTGATCCATAGCATCAGAAAAACAAAAAACTATTGGCAAATGTGACTTAATTTAAAAGATGCTTGAGGTTTAATTCAAAGGTTATAGATATTTGGCTATCCTTAGTCAAAGTATACTCCCATTACTTATTAAATATAGTCCAACAAGGGTTACTAAGATGGCTCAGTGGATAAAGGTACTTGTGCCACGCCTATGTTCAATCCCCTAAACTCCACTGGCCTCTGACCTCCCCATGCATGCCCCTCCCACACACTAAATAAATGCAATAAAAAAAGTTTAAAAACAAATAAAAAACAGTCCAACTGTTACCAACTGAACTGTCATGTGTTGAAGCCTTATCCCCCTCCCCTTGCCCCTGTGACTGTTTTTGTATAGAGGTTAATTCAGTTTAAATGAAATTTTAAAGGTGGTCCCTAAGTTAATAGGTATGATAGTCATGAGAATGTCATGGTACACAGCTGATACCCTGCAACAGGGAAAAAAAGGTTATGTGTAATACAGCAAAAGATGTCAGGCATAAAGGCTCAGGAGAAATCAAACTTGTTAATACCTCCATCTTTGATAAAAGCCTCCAGAAAGTCACTCAGTCTGCCATATTTTAACAACTCTAGAAGACTAATACATAACATTCTAGGAGAAACTTACTTGAAACATTCCTCTTACCTTGATATGCATATCTCTCTAACTTGCTGAGGTGTCAAAGCAAAAATAAAAAATTTCTCTTGAAACCGCTGAATACTGCTTTGAACTGGGGAGGGAAAAAAAATTATTCAGTAACAAACAACCACCTGCAATAACCAGGAACTTCTGAAATAATGTCTACTAAATTCTGAAAAGCTTAAAGTTTAATTGAACACGCTAAAATCAAGTACGAGTACTATATCAAATTTCATTCACCTTTAATTGAGCAAAGTCATCCAAATGAATTTAAATACTTATTCATTATTCTAAAACGATAATTATGCTACACAGTCAAGATACAACAAAACATACTTCATTCTATGCTACAGTACTAGAGTCAGGGTGATCATGAGTTCAACTCTAGCCTGAGCTACAGTTAGACTCTGTCTCAAAAAAAAAAGGGACACAGGAGACCTACTGACAAACAGGGAGAGAAGTTAGGTTATTATAGAGGCCTCAAGTCTTCTGCTTCTTAAAAAGTACTGCAATATTACCCAAAAAGGGCAAAAACAAAAATGGCTCTTATATGTTATTGCTACAATTTTCCTAGACCATGAAGATAAAAAAGATAGCTAAATATCTAATAGCAAAAGGCTTTCTTTGTAAATCACACCAAATCAAGAAAAATACAGTAAAAAACATAATCACTTTACTTCACTAGCTATGCTTCATAGAAATTGCATCATAAAGCTAATTTATGTTTTCTTTAAATATTTCTAAAACATTTAAAGAGATGTTATTTAAGATGGTCTACACACGAAACAATTCTAGGTTACATGATGCTTATGGGACACAAAATACAGATATAACATAGCAGGAAGTGTCTCCACTTCTTCAGCTTCTACTTGCTCTTCCATCCCTTCCTCTTTACATGGTTTCCATTTTCCTCTTTTAATGGTTAAGTTCACCCATAGCCTCTTAACTATCAAATATAATACAATAACTTATATTTTGAGATTAAGTGAACACACAGTAGGCTGAAGCTAAGTTCAGTGGTACAGTGCTTGCCTACTATGCACCAAAAACAAGGCCCTGGGTTCAACACCCATTACAAAGAAAGAAGAATCCAAATGAACACAGTGTTTTCACAATTGTTTTTTAATAATATGAGCAGCCGGGCACAGTGGCTCACATCTTTAAACCCAGCACTTGGGAGGCAGAGGCAGGCGGATCTCTGTGGGCTCAAAGCCAGCCTGGTCTACATATCAAGTTCCAGGTCAGCTGGGGCTACAAGGAGACCCCGTCTTCAAACGAAAAAATAAATTAATATTTTTTTTAATAATAATAATAATAAGCATTGGGCTTCTCCAGCCATAAATCTGAAAATATCCAACATAAGTACAGAGTCCCAAAAAGTGGAAATGTGGCACTGGGAGGAAAAAAAAAAAAGAACCTTGCAGCAACGATTAAAGAATCTGTATTTGGGGGCTGGAGAGATGGCTCATTGGTTAAGAGCACTGACTGCTCTTGCAAAGGACCTGGGTTCGAGTCCCAGCACCCACAGGGCAGCTACGAACCATCCTTAACTCCAGTTCCAGGGGAATCCAACACCCTCTTCTGACCTCTGTAGCACTGCACAACATGGGTGCACTCACATACATGCAGGCAATACACTCATATGCATAAAATAAAAATAAAATATTTTTTTTAAATCTGTATTTTGATGGGGGGAAAACTATATACTGACCAAACACTAATAATACAAAGAAGTCTACTTAGTCACATCACAATCAAAGTACTGAAAGTCTTAAAAGCAGCCAAAGAAGAAAACTATTAGAAATAAAGGAGCGTCTCATCGGATCAAATGTAGAGCAGAAAACAACTTCAAAGTGCCAAAGGGAAAAAAAATGGGCGCTACAAATGGTTTCTTGGCCTGGAGATGTAGCTCAACTGATACAGTGCTTGCCTAACATGCAGGAAGCCCTAAGTTCAATTTTCAGTATTGCTAAACCAAGTGATATATGCCTGTAAAACCAGCACTAGGGAGAGGAGGAAAGGTGATCAGAAGTTCAAAGTTCAAGGACAGCCTGGGATACATGAGACCCAGTCTCAAACACAATAAAGCTGAAAAAGATTAAAAGAAAAAAAAAAAAACCCTTAAATTAGCTTCTTGTCTAGCAACAGACTTTTCGTGTAAACAAAAGCTATGTGAATTTGTCGAAAGCAGACGTTATAAGCAAAAGGAAACTAAGCATTAAAACAAGGCAAAATTTCAGAATTGGATCTTTGGGAATGGAAATCACCACATTCCATATGTAGGTAAATATGTCACTTTTTTCTTCTCCAATTCCTTAAAAAGATAACTATAATTAAGCCAGCTGTTAAATGTCTAAAGCACACTGTTTAAGGCAATCATATTGAAAAGCTGGCCTTGCAACACAGGCAGACATGAAAATAGAGCAACAGGGTAGAGAAGGTGAACAAATGAAGTTGTCTAAGAGCCATCTCCTGTTTCATTGTGATAAGCCTGATTAACATAAATCTCTAAAAATAATCAAAACAGTAGATATCTACATTTAAGTAAAAACTGGGCATAACCCACATTAATTCACCAGGACACATGCCAGTATTTGATGAAATGTCTGGGTGACTACAGTTAATTTACCCAACAAAGTTCCTAAAGAACATGCAATCTTGGAGGTTGGGGAGATTGCTCAGCAGTTGAAGAGTGGGTACTGCTCTGGCAGAGGACCTGAGTTTGATTCCCAGCACCTATTGTCCAGCAGGCAGCTCATAGCCACCTGTAATTCTAGCTCTCTTCTGGCCTCCTAGAGCACTGCACTTACATGCACATACTCATCCCCCAACAGTCCTCCATATACATAATTAAAAATAAATCTTCAAAACATGCGGCATAACATTTGGAACCAGTGTGGTGCAGCCATTGTTGGACTACTCAGACTCTATCCTGTGAGCTAAGCTGATAAATCTCTATACATATATATTCATTCTACAGGTTCTGTTTCTTTGGAGAACCCACCAGCTCTGCAATTTGGTTTTCTATTAAATGTCTATAATCTGAGATCAGAAAACAAATTCTGCACAGACTCTCCACATGCTTATAAACAGAGAAAGAAGAGACCATGACTCTAATACATGGATTAAACATAACTACTAAAATCCTTTCCTTTCTCAAAATCTCATCTTAAATGAGCCATAGTAATGCATCTCAGCACTCAGGAGGCTGAGGAAGGACGATCACATATTCAGTGTCTGCTTGTACTACAGACAATGCCTCAAAAATCACAGGTAACACAAATGCACACACACAACATAGATTTTTGTCTTCCAAACACAGCCACATACACTTCTTATACGACCTTGATTCTCTTTTACTTAGCAGCTGAGTCTGTCTTGTTTTCCTTTGAACCCGAATGGTTCTTTGTGACTGCTTCAACCAACTGTGTATGGTACAAGGCAAGCAAAGCTATACAATTTGCAAAGTTAGATCATAAAAATGCTGTGCATGTCTTCTGACTCTGTGGGGAACACTCACTCTTGGCATCCATGCTATAAAGACCCCAAGAAGAACACATGAAAAACATGTATGGAAATTTCAGCTAGCAACCAACATGAATCCAAGCCATCAGATAACAGAGCCTGCAGATACATCAAAGAAGATGCCTATAAGCCACTGGAACATCTAACCATCACTTACAACACTTCCGCCATTTAAGTCTTGTCAGGTAAGAAACCTTTGAATAGATGCCTTCCTGACCCAGAGAACCCATGAGCAGAATAAAATGCCAGTTTTACAGCACTCTTGGAACAGTATATTATATACAGCAATAAGAGAAACAATGTCACACTTTCAATTTTAAAATCATGTAAATTCAAAATTAATATACTCATCCATTTATCATTAGTACTAACTAATAAGACTGATATAATACTCCAGGTTGGTAATAGTGTTCCTTTTTATTACTTTTAAACTTAGAGTGGACCAGAATATATTACTACTGCATTCAGTCTTTAGTCAAGTCTTGCTGGTTACTATCCAAGTTATTTAGGAAATTCACATAAAATTTTCAAATGCTACTTTTTTTCTAAGATTTATTTTATTGTTTTTATCATTTATGTGTTTGTTTATTTATGTATTTATTTAGGTCTCTGTTTTTGAGACAGGATCTCACTATGTAGCTCTGTCTGGTCTGCAACTAAGTATGTAGATCAGGCTGGCCTTTGAACTCACAGAGATTGGCCTGCCTCTGGCTGCTACATGCTAGAAATTAAAGACATGCACTACCATGCCCAGTCTTACTATTTTAAATTTGATGGGGAGAAGGGGATGTATGCACATGAGTACAGGTATCTTTGCGGGCAGAAAAGGGCATCAGATCCCCTGTAGCTAGAGCTATAGGTAGTTGTGAGCTACCAGATGCATTGGGAACTGAACTCAGGTTCTTCACAACAGTAGGCTCCCTTAATCACTGAGTCATCTCTCCAGTCCAAGTACCTCTGAAGATTAATTCAATTCAAATGGGAATATTTTTGTCATCTTTTCAGTTATTTTATGGATGAAAAGTAAATGTGAAAGCATTCTAAAAACAATAAGACACAGATACATTTTTAATTCTAATAGTCATCAACTCTGCTTTAAAAAAAAAATTCAAAGGGCTAGAAAAATGGCTTAGCAGTTAAGAGTACATGCTGCTCTTACAGAAAACCATAGTTAGATACCTAGCACCTGCTTCAGGTTGCTCACAACCTCCTGTAACTCCAACTCCAGCACCTACTGTGGAAAACATTATGCTGGTTGCTTAAAAATTAAAAACAATTGCTGAGCGTGGTGGTGCACGCCTTTAATCCCAGAACTTGGGAGGCAGAGGCAGGCAGATCTCTATGAGTTCAAGGCCAGCCTGGTCTACAAAGTGAGTTCCAGAAAGGCTAAATAAATAAATAAATAAATAAATAAATAAATAAATAAATAAAAAAAAAACAATTATATGATCAGCAATTCTATTTTTGGTAAAGAGATTTATATACCCTTGTTCATAGAAGTATTATTCACAATAGCTAAAATGTGGAAGCAACCAAGTGCCTACAAGTGGACAAGGTAATATATAT